TCACAGCTCACAGCAACCTCCAGCTCTTGAGCTTAAGTGATTCTCTTGTCTCAGCCTCCTAAGTAGCTGGGACTACTAGGGGCCACCACAATGCCCAGCTATTTTTTGTTGCAGTTGTCATGGTTGTTCTAGCTGGCCGGGGCCAGGTTTGAACCCACCAGCCTTAGTGTATGTGGCTGGCACTGAAACCACTGTGCTACAGGCGCTGAGCCAGGTTTTTCTTTTCCTTTGGGACTAAGTCTCACTTGGTCACCCTGGGTAGAGTGCTATGGCATCACATCTCACAGCAACCTCAGACTCTTGGGTTCAAGTGATCTTTTGCTTCTGCCTCCTAAGCACCTGGCACAATGCCCAGTTGTTTTTTTAGAGACTGGGTCTCGCTCTTACTCAGGCTGGTCGCAAACTCGTGAACTTAGGCAATCCATCTGCCTTGGCCTCCCAAGTGCTGACATATAGGCTTGAACCACAGCGCCTGACCTATTAGGTTTTTCTTTTTTTTTGTTTGTTTGGTTGCAGTTTTTGGCCGGGACTGGGTGTGAACCCGCCACCTCTGGCATATGGGGCCGGAGCCCTACTCCTTGAGCCACAGGCACCACCCACGTATTAGGTTTTTCCTAGTGCCTTTTTTCTGTCCCAAGATCCCACATAATATTTAGTTGTCATGTCACATTTGGCTTCTTTGGCTGTAATGATTTCTCACACTTGGCTCATCTGAATTATGTAGACTGGTTAGGTAATTTACAGAACCCTCGATTGCAGCTTGGCACCTGTAGCACAGTGGTTACGGTGCCAGCCACATACACCGAGGTTGGTGGATTCGAACCCGGCCCAGGCCAGCTAAAACAACAATGATAACTGCAACCAAAAATAGCCGGGCACTGTGGTGAGTGCCTGTAGTCCCAGCTACTTGGGAGGCTAAGCCAAGAGAATTGCTTAACCCCAGGAGTTGGAGGTTGCTGTAACTTGTGATGCCACAGCACTCTACTGAGGTTGACATAGTAAGACTCTGTCTCAAAAAAAAAAAAGAACCCTTGTTGGGAATTTATCTGATTTATCTCCAGCTTCCCATGGTTAGACTGGGATTATGGATTTAAGCAGGTAAAGTGCCTTTTTTACCATATACCAAGGATACATACTGTCAGTGCAGCTTATGACTGTTGCTTTTTTTTTTTCTTAGAACTCACTTTGTTATCCTCTGTAGAATGCCATGGTATCCTAGCTCACAGCAACCTCAAACTCTTGGGCTCAAGCAATCCTTTTGCCTCAGCCTCCTGAGTAGCTGGGACCACAGGCCCCATCACAGTGCTGACTGTTTTTTAGAGAAAGGGTCTCACTCTTGCTTAGGTTGGTCTTGAACTCCTGAGGTCAAGTGATCCCACCCTCCTTGGCCTTGACTGTTTCTGTTTTTGATAACCTTGTTGGTGCAAGTCTTTGTCAGATTTTCTGTTGTGAGGTTACTACTGTTCTTCTGTCCTTGCTGTACTCTTAGAAAGGAAGTTACAGTGCACAGCCCACATTTAAGGAGTGGGAAACTAGCCCCATCTCCTTGAAGGAGGGAGTAGCCACATAAATTGCTTGGAATTCTTCTGCATAGGGGATTTGTCTACCCTCATTTATTCATTCAGTCACCTATATCAGTATGGACTCATGATAATTTATTTTACACTCAAGTTATTGCTGGCTTTTTAAAAGTTTTTCTGGCTTTATTTTTTAAACTTTCAGTCAGTAACGTTGGCATCCTGGCCCTTTGGACCCACAAGCCCAGAATAATACTGTGATAAAGTCTCTTTAGCATGACTTTCCCACTCTGTCAAGTCAAAACTGAATCTTCATTTTTATCAGGATGGATGTGATGTAGACCTCTGGGGTGCAGATAGTGCTAGGCACATATGGGAGCTCCAGACTTGAGTCAGCTTGATAGTTGGCAGCCTCTCTTCTGTAGCCTTAATAGTATTCCCAGAATTCATCAGAGGGAGGTTTTTATCTGCCTTTCTACTTTCTCTTATTCAGCACAGGCCAAAACCCAGAACCTGGAAGTAATAGAGTCCAGAGAACCAAGAGCAGTAATTTCTCAAGTGTTGCCTCCTAGCCTCACATATTTGTTCCAGGGAAATCTGTGCTGGAGATGGC